GGTGTTCTAATGACAGTATAATACACAACCAAGCAGCAGGTGAAGGAAATCTGACCGAGTGGCAACTTCTTCAACGATTAGGTTACTTCCATATTCGGGTGGACGTGGCGGGAGCGCGTCAAACCGCGGTCCGCTTTGATGCGAGGTCCCGTGACTGCGGTCTCCGCTGAGGGATCACTCGGCTGCTGGTCCCTCCTTCTCGTCCCACTTTCCGTCCCGCCCCGCCTCCGCTGCAGATCCCACAAGCCTCAACTGGACGCCACTTTTCCTCCAGCCTCGCGCCTCAACTCCCGAGGCTGGACTACCATCATTCAACATTCGCATCATCCCGTCATCTTTCGCCTTTCTTCTTTCCCCCGCGGCAATCCATTACCGAAACGCGGTAATCATCACACCGCCAACATGAATAACGAACAATTCCGTCGTCTTCTTCTCGCTAATTCCCAGGAAAACAACCACCAAAATGGCAGCAGTACATCACCACCTTCCTCGAACACCTCCAAATCTCCGGTAGCGCCAGCGCCAGCAGGCAACAGCACGCCGCGCACGCTCGCTCTAGGCTCCAAAGCCCGCTCTTCGATCCCCATGACCCCTCGCTCCGTCGCCGGCTTCAATCCCCGCAATGAATTCGCCCGCCAACTCGCCGAGCGTAATCAGACCCTCTCCTCTTCTTCATCATCATCACAACAACAACACCCCAATAAGAAGATTCGAACCTCTGCACCCAAAGGTAGCAGGCTCGCCGAAGGATATGTCGATCGCGTCAAGCAGAGACAAGCGCAAGAAGAGGCGGACGAGCGGGAGCGCAAGCTGAAGGAGCTGGAAGAGCGGTACAAGAAGGAGGAGATCGACAAGGACGAGTATGAGCGCTTGCGAGTGGAGATCATTGGCGGGGGAGGTGGCTTGGACACAGCGCATCTGGTGAAGGGGTTGGATTTCAAGCTTTTGGAGAGGGTGAGGAGGGGGGAAGTGGATGTTTTTGGTGAGAAGAAGGATGCGTCGGAGTCGGAGTCGCCTGAGGTGGAAGAGAATCAAAAAGAGACCGAAGAGAATGAGCAACGAGCGGATGGCGAGGAGGACGGCGACGCGGATGATGTGCTCGAACAACTCGAATCGGCCAAAGTCAAAGCCAAGGAAAAAGAAAAAGTGCAAAAGAAGGGCGAGTTTGCAACCACGACATTACTGGCGGGTGCAAAGAAGACAAGAAATCAAATATTGGCCGAATTGAAAGCCGCGCGCGCTGCCGCCAAGGCCAAGCAGGAGTCGAGTCTGGGGTCCAGGTTCAAGAAGATCGGACCCAAGAAGCAGGCGGAAACGAGGATAGAGCGTGACGACAGAGGGAACGAGATCATGATCATCGTCGATGAAGACGGCAACGAGCGACGCAAAGTTCGAAGACTCGACCCGAATAAGACGCAGGAAGAGTACGAGAAGGAGCGAGAAGCGCTCGCGCAGGGTAAGGTTCTCGGTATGGATGTGCCCGAGTACTACAAGAAGCTGGAAGAGGAGAAGAAAGCGGCCGAGGCGGCGGAGGAGGATAAAGAGCCGAATATTTTTGACGATGTCGAGTCTGATTACGATCCGCTAGCTGGGTTGGAAAGCGGTTCTGATGACGAGTCAGATAAGGAGGACGGAGAGGTGGAGGACACTCAGAAGAAAGAGAACAAGAGTCTGTCCGATATGCGTCCACCACCGAAACCAGAACCAGCAGCCGCCGGACCGAGGAATTACTTCAAAGATTCCAAGACCGGGCTCACTTCGCAAGAAGAGTACAAGAAGCCCTCGCTTGACGACCCCTCCTTCCGCGCCGCGCTGGCCAAAGCAAAGGCCATCAGCGCCGCCGAGAAATCTGAAGAGGAGAGACTGGCAGCCGAGCGGGAAGCACGACTACGGAAGAAGCTGCTGGAGAGCAGCAGAGACGACGAAGATCTGGATATGGGTTTCGGGTCGAGTCGCATGGAGGACGATGCCGATTTGGACGAATCATCGAAGGTCAAGTTGTCTGAGTGGGGTGAGGATGAAGACGATGATGGATATGAAGGAGGTGGAAAGGCGGGCCTTGGGAGTAGTAAGGGGAAACGCAAGCGGGGCGGTGGAAAGAAGGGCGGTGATAAGAACAACTTTGCGGATGTGATGAAGGTGATTGAGAAGAACAAGGCGAAGGAGTGAGACATCGCCAATGAGTAGGGATTGAACGTAGATATGATAATATACCCAGTGATATACCGTAGTTCTATAATCTATGTCTACAACCTGAACTTTCATAAAGTCTCCAAGCAACGTCCTCTAGACTAGATGTGGGTATTCTGCAGTGCAAATCTCCCTTGTGCCATCTGTGTTCTGTAAACCGTTCAGTCAAGATCCCATCACAACCAAGCCCTTTATAATGCGACAACCCACAACCCCTTTCAGTTAATTAGGAAGCACATCATCCCCCCTCGCATTCGCCTCATCCGCTCTGCTCACACACTCCTCCAACACCTTCCAAAACAGCGGAATATCCAATCCCCTCGGTATCCTCACACCCTCCTCACCCTCGGGCAGGGGCTTGGCAACCGTCATACCCGTCTTCGCCCCGTTGACCCTCGCGTCCTCATAACTCCCCTCGGTCACCACCGTAACCTCAAACCTCTCTCTGTGCTTCTCCACAGTCCCTGGAGAGAAATCCCAAAAAGGAATCTGATACTCCTCGAGGGGGGTGCCCACCAGTCCCGTCAACACAGCCGCCACCGCCAACGGATCATGCAGCGGCGGGCCCTCCGTGATCCCAAACACGTCCGCATACGTCTTGGCGAAGAACATGAGCAGCTCCACCAACATGGTTCGCAGGGTGGTCTTCCCTTTGCTTCCATCTTGCGGCAGTTCCGGGTGCGCCTCCTTGCCCTCGGGCCCATAGAGAATCAAATCGCGGACTTGCTCCGTCGTCAAAACCATGTGCGTCAAATCCAGCGGGATCAGCGTCGTCTTCCCTGCCAGCTCCTTGTTGGAAAAAATCGCGTGTGCTGCTTCGGGGTCGGCAAGGACGTTGAACTCGGCGAACTGCGTCCAGTTGCCCACGCGGGGCACGCCGTCGACGGTGCCCAGGATGGCGGGGGTGAAGCCGGTGCCGAACGCGCCGCCCATGAGGGAGAGGCCCTTGATGTGGCTGACGAGATCTGGGTGGCTCAAAAAGAGCTGTGCGGCGTTGGTGAAGCTGCCGGTGGCTACCACCCAGGCGGTTCCAGGGGCGCAGGAGCGTAAGGCGGTCGACATGGCGGTTACGGCGTCGACGGAGGTGTCGGGGCCGACGAGAGGCGCGGGGAGCAGCTTGGTCCCATCTAGGCCGGATTCGCCGTGTATGTCGGTAGGCGCGTGCAGGTGGGGCCGGTGAAGGGCGTGCGAGGCGCCGATGTAGACGGGGATGGAGTGCGAGCGGGAGATGGAGGTGAGGATAGAGCAGGCGTTGCGGGTTGTTTTTCTGTGATATGTGTGTTAAGACAGACACGGCCTGAGTGAGACGAAGAAACAGGTCAAGTGGCTTACTCCAAGGACGCATTGCCAAAGACTGTAGAGATGCCCAAGATGCGGATGGCTGGGTGGTAGGCGGCTAGGAGAATGGCGAAGGTGTCCTGTTCACCTCAACTTGTTAATGTCTGCAATTTTGAAATGTTGATCAACCGCATTCCCCATTCCCATCTTCGTCGTCGGCGGGTAGGTAGGTAGCACCGATGCCATCAGTAGGTACTTGGATGCACATCATCTCATCTCATCCCCTCTCACCGCGCCCGCCAGGACTTCGCGAGACGAACAGGTGGAGAGAGCCGAGCTACGATGAAGTAAGGTGCCCGCCGAAGGTTGACCTCGAACTGAACCGAATAGAGCCGAACCGGGAATGGATGCGCCTGCACTCGCATCGCACCGACAGTACAGATCCAACGGGAGATGCCGACCTCTCTTCTCTTGTGTCTCCCGTTTCCCTTGCATCCCGTCGCGACCGACTTAGGCGTAACTCCCGTCCTGCACCACCCGAGCTGAACTTACATCGTGACCCGGATCGCAATCTAGCCAAACGGGAATTCTGTTATCGACTGTCGATCCCATTTTTTTCACTTTTTCTTCCTCCGGTGATAGCCAATAAAGAAATTGTTCGGAATAAGTCTCTCAAACTTCTGAGGATGCTTTGGTAGAAAACCTGACTGTGATGTTAGTGAAACTGATAAGCTCCAAAACGAAACGCGGGGTAAGATGGGGCATTCGACTTTACTTTTGGTGCAAGGACTCGCTGATACTATCTCCACGAGTTAGGTTTGTTCACGTACGTTCGATGACTACCTTACCTAGTAGGAACCTGAAACACTCGAAACATGTACAGAGTCAATGATCAAAAGGCTGACTTTCGGAAAAGGGGTCCTAGCTTTCTATATAGTGTAGAGGACAACATACATACAACCTACAACAGGAACCTACCGTGGATCCTCAAAGCCGCGGATATCCCTTCAAACGGCCTTGCCTGCCTGTTGTTCTTGGTCTGAAGATGATCCCCCAAAACATCGGCTTGTTAGTGGCTTGTCCCTACAAGTTTTCCCCCACCAGACGGCCACCAAATAGGAAGGCGGCTGACGGCTGAGGACGCCGAGTTCCGATATTTTGTAGTGTAATATCATAAACACTTTTGCAGAACATCTTCACTACATTATTATCGCCTGTCAGCTTGAACATTTTTCTTATCCTTATCTACTTTTTATAGCTGGCAGTTTTTCCTCTTTGTTTTCCCTCTCTCCCTCTTTTTTTCCTTTTTTTTTCCTGGCTATAGGCTCCTTCTCAGTTATTTTTATGGCAATGCAACACCTGCTTGCTTCTCGAATTCGCGGTCTTGGCAATCCCTGTAAACCGTCCCCATGATCAAAACATACGGAGACTGCGGATCTTTGCTCGGCGTGAGCCAAAAAAGGGGAAAAGGAGAGAAGAGCGATGATCACTACAGCAGCGGTGGTCCTTTGTACGTAAATAGGAGCAAAACGAAAACACCATGGCTAGTCACATAATAAGGCGAAAATATGCGTACGAAGCGATTCCCACGAGATCCCATTACCCACCATAGCCTTACTTAGTAGATCGCTCAAACACACATCTATCAACGCACGCTTGCTTGCACTGCTGCCTTCCTCTCTCTCCCCCTCTTGATGATGACCTCGCGATGCCTACTCAAAATGTACACATTGCCAGACTTGTCCCCTTTTCTTCCCCCCTCATCTACCCAGCCCATACTTCGCAAACTCAAACTCAAAATTTGAAAGTAACAGTCTTACTCTTAACCCACTCCGCCAACCCCCTGCTGGTATTAAACCTCCCATATCCGCTCGCCTTCGCGCCACCGTGGGGCAGCGTCGCCTCATCATGCACCGTCATGCTGTTAATATGCACCGCGCCCGTCTCGATCTCCTTGGCCATGCGCAATCCCCTTCTCAAGTCCTCCGTAAACACGGCGCTCGTCAATCCGTATTCGGTATCGTTGGCGATCCTGAGCGCCTCCTCCTCGGTCTCGATCTCGTACACGGCCACCGTGGGCCCAAAGCTCTCGGTCTTGTAGATGTCCATTTCGGTGGTAATTCCACTTACAATAACCGGGCGCATGCGCGTCGTGGTCTCTTCTTGGGCGTCAGGGTTGCCGTACAGCAACTTGGCGCCCTTGGACAAGGCGTCCGCAAGGAGCTTCTTGTTCTTGTCGACCGCGAGGGAGTTGATGAGGATCGGTGCGGGCGTCGGGGGCCCAAAGATGTTTTCGACGGCGCGGACGAGCTTCTTCTCGAATTCGGCGCGGACGGACTTGTGCACCAGGATACGCTCGGTAGACATGCAGATCTGGCCTGAGTTGAGGAAGGCGCCCAGGGCGCACTGGGTCGCGGCGTTGTCGAGCTCGGCGTCCTCCCAGACGATGGCCGAGGCCTTGCCGCCTAGCTCGAGCAGCACGGGCTTGAGGTTCTCGCCGGCCAGGCGGCCGATGATGCGGCCGACGGCAGTGCTGCCGGTGAAGTTGACCTTCTTGATCTGCGGGTTGGAGATGAGCGAGCTGGTGATGGCGGGGGCGTTGGCGGGCTCGTGGACGAGCATGTTGAGGACGCCTTTGGGGAGGCCGGCTTCGTGGAAGACGGAGCAGAGGCCCCACATGGTGCGTGGGCAGAGCTCGGTGGCCTTGAAGATGGCGGTGTTGCCGGCGGCGATGGGGTAGAGGATGGAGCGGATACCGAGAATGTAGGGGGCGTTCCTTGCAAGGTGTTAGTGGAATACATCCCATTTCTCTTAGCCGCCGCCTAAAGCTGGACTCACCAAGGGGCAACGGCGAGAACAACGCCATAGGGCTCCTGCAAGACGAGGGCCCCCGAGTCGGGATCGTTGACTACGGGGAACGAGCCTTCCAACGTGTTGCATCTCCCAGCCACATCCATCAACAAGTCCTTTGCAACCTGAATGTTGAAGTCGGCCCATTGGCGTGGAGCACCCGTCTCGTCCATCACGTACTGGCCCAACTCCTCCTTTCTCTTCACCAAGATCTCGGCCGCCTTGTGGAAAAGGTCACGACGCTGGTTAGGGTGTGATTTCCTCCATGTCTTGAAAGCTTCTGCCGCGGCGTTCACGGCAGCCTGAACCTCGGTATCCGTAGCGCTGCTGCACTTGTGCACAACCTTTTGGGTTGCTGGGGACGTGACATCAAAAGTCCTGGACGTGCGGACTTCCTCGCCGTTGATGAAGAAGGGCACGGTATAAGTTTCGGCCATGTTGTCGGTTGTTGAAGAAAAGCAAGGGGATTGCCAGTACAATCCGGGGTATCTAGAGCTGGGGAAAAGATTCAACTAAGCAAGTGCAAACGACTAGGTAAGAAACAGATATTGATCAAGGAAAACGAGGAGTACATAGCGAGACCTCGGCCAGTGTGCGTAGGAATGAAGAGTTCTTCAACATGGCATTTACACAGTACGTCGTAGCGGATCCCGAGGACGGAATGAGTGGGACTGATGAAGATCTTGGTTGCCCACATCCCCGCAGCACCAAGCGAAAGCCGGGGAGTGGGTAGCAGTGATGAGCCGGTGAACTATAGGCTACCGGTTGAGGCAGGACATCCCGGCTAAAGTTTGCAAGTCCGACAGCGGTGTTTTGATTGGTCTTGATTGATGTTCACCATGATGGATGGTGGTGACATTGACGAGTGAGGCTGTCACCAACAGTTTGGTCCGTATCTTTCTTCTGACGCGCTCCTTTGAATTCCCAAGCCGTCAGGCCTGGTTCCCCGGATATTCCATGTGGTGGTTACAACTCTGTCTCGGCCCCAGATCTGATATGCAAGGGTCAATGATACGGCGACACTGACAATAACAGCGCCGATGACTGGACGACGACCAAGGGGACGAATTAATCAGCTATCCACCAACCAGAGCGTACAATACCTCCCGTAGCTGTCGCGAAGCACCATAACCACCCCCCCATGGGCCTTGGCAACCCTTTGGCCAATCCATGTGTGGGGTCCTCAGTGGGATCTAGGCGAAGCGGAGGTGACTTTCGGCATCTGTCTTACAAATCCCTCTACTTTGAGGCTCAACCTTGATACGACGACTGGGGGTTCCCGCGTTTATCTGGTTGACTCGGGGATAGCTTCGGGAGTTGAAAAGGGTGCCTGACGACGTGACCCCCCACGTGAACGGGGCGACGTGGAAGTGGGAGGATTCGAAGGTTGAGCGGTGCTTGTCGGGAGCCATGTGGGGGTGCTGCGTCCGCCCCGTCTGGCAGGAAGACATCAGTGATACGGAGTGGGGTGTATGGAGTCTCCGAATCGGAGACCTGCCGAGTCAGGTCCGAGGCCGGACTCACAATGGATGCCCGGAGGGTTTGCTGGGAGGAGCTATCGGAGCCGGTAGATCCACATTCGGACACGGAACGGATGTGTTGATGCTGATTCTTCTCGAGAGCCTACACCCTTTTTCCCTGCTGTTTATCTGCCAAGGCATTTGCCGCAGCGACAAAGGGTTGAGGCAAAGAAATCATGTCAACTTGTTTGCGCTCAATCTCTTTGCGAGTAGGAGGTGGGCGGTTGCAGTTTGCCGTGAATCAATTTCTCATGTTTGGCCGTCACACTACTATGCATGGCATGTCGGATGGTCACTTTACTAGTCGCAGTGCCTGTCTCTGATTTCTGAGACCTGAGATGTGCACAATGCCTGTTGTACTTCCGACATAGTAAATGGGACTGATGGAATTGAAGATAATTCAACCCAAACACCAGATTGTCCCATCTTAGTGTATCAAGAGGAACGCAGAAATGACGGGACGCGGAAGGTTCAAGCTGCTGAGGAAGAGATGATTAAAAGGCGGGGTTGCTGCCAGCCCTTGACAGCTACCCGCCAACTGGTAGGTTGACTGCGTTCTGCCTACCTACCCGAACAGGCATCGTTCAGGCACGCACGTCCCTCCAACCTTCCAAAGTCTTCTTCTTCTTCTTCTTCCTTTTTTCTTCTTTGAAAGAAGCATATGGTCATTAATACCTATCTAGCTTGAGAACCAAACTTGATACGAGTGGAACTCTAACACAATGGGTCGCACCTTGTGCCCAGATCCCATGTTGGTTCTGTCCGAGGGATTGCACTTGTACTGGCTCCCAAGACAACTCTTCCTTAAAGATGGCATTTCCCAAGCTGTGGTTACACGAACACGCCGGAAGGGACGGAAGTGTGCGGTACACAAGACGGGAGCGCCTGTTGGCCGATTCTTCTCACGATACGGCTGAAGCGCCAAACGAATCGAGATGCACACCCACAAGGCCACAACTCACGAACCGGTGACAAAGTCTGGGCTCGATTGGGCCGCCTTGAACCGCCTTGGACCCTGAGGTCTAGACCGGGCTATGGGCTTGCCATCCTCACTCCAACAGGGTCCTCCCCCGGAATTCCAGACAACGACAAGCGAAACCAAAGCTTACGGCGCACTCGATATGTTGGACGTGTCCCGGCCTTGTTTCCACTTGGTAACCCTCGGTGGTCTCTTCTCTTCCATATCCCAAGAAAAGAAGGCTTTTTAGGCCCCGTGATGGCTTCAAATCGAGCGCAACAAAACCTCACTGGTGTTTTATCTTGTCGCCACTCGACCGCTACATTGATATCGTCCGATCTCTCCGCGCTTGTACGCGTCGACGCATCAAACCACTCAGCTGCAAGCAACTTGAAGTGCTCTCGCAGACTTAGTGAGGCGTAGCGACGACCACGAAAGCATGGCGAATGAAGTGCGCTGCTGTGGTCTGTCCGCTGCCCCGTCACGCCTTTACCCTCTCCAAGCCTTCATCGTTATGCGCATGTGCAATGAAAGTGTTGTCCTGGTCTTGACACGCCCGAATATTATAATGACGAGACGGCTAGTCTTGCAACAATCACCGACATGGGCCAAGAACAAAGTACGTGAAAGTTGTTGAATAAAGTATTCGATTATAACGGCCTGCCACACAGCCCTGTGGATGGAGGATGAATGCTTGTCGATACTTGACGGAATGATGGGACTCGTTGGAAACATAACGGATGCGCTATTACCTGAGGAGGTTTATCCTTTCTTAGAAAGTTCTTTCTTCGATCCCTCGGATTGGGCAATGAAGACGGTTACCTGTCACAAGGTCCCCTTTTCCACCCACTCAATCCTCCCAGCCGGCCCCAGCAAGACTCGTTTACCTCTTGCACGCACCGCAAAGTCACAACTTTTGCAGCTGCCTTACCTCTACAAGCTCGCTCAACCGCACCTCCCTCCATTCTCCGTGTGGTGGAGCCAGCTGCAGTTCGCAGTTCTTCCTTCCTGTCACTTGGGAGATCTGCGACCTGGCCCAGACCTACCTCAGGTTAGTACTTGCTGGTAGGGCCTCGCTCGGTTAGGTTGCCTTGCCCTAGTCGTAGGGCCAATCCATGTACATAGAAAGAGTGCTTTCCCTCTTCGCTGCGGCTGCATCTGCTGGTTTTAGTTTGCTCTGCTCGCTCCTGCACCTCCGCTCATTCTCCAGCTGCTTGCCCGCTCCCGTTTTGTTCTTTCCGCTTCAGTCCCACTTCCACTTCCACTTCTCCTATGGGCCTGGCAATCTCAACTTGACTAGTACCTAGCTCAGGTACTTACTCTGAACCGGTGACCGAGAAGTAGCGAAAAGTCTCGGCCTTATAGTTCCACTTCATTCTTCCACTTCATTGACTTCTTCCATCGTTTCTTTCTTCCCACCACTTCCTCGTCGACTCCCGTCCCATCGATTCCCAACCTCCAGCATCCGCTATCTTCCACACTGCGCATACACCACCTCTTGGGATTTACTTGTAGTTTGACCGACAACTACCGCGGCGTACAACCACGGAAGAGCTTGCTTCAACCCCCCAAAAAAGCCTCGCGATTCTCAAGACAGCCAACGACACAAGGCCAACTAAGCCTATAGTACCTAATCTAATCTCGTACCGACAAAAAAGGACTGATCACTTTCTGCATTGACACTACATACGGAAATTGTTACCATTGGGCTTCGCCGGCTTCGTTTCTCCCTCGTTGAAACATCCAGCCAAAGGATCGGCTACGCCCGACGCTTCCTCTCCGCATTCCAGTTCCCTTGCCCCAGTGGTTACCACCCGCCCGGTTGATCAACCACCTCGGTCACATCCCCGACAGCCACTTTCCGACCGATATTCGAGCCACGGACGCCATGCTCAAGGTTCGACTTCTCCAGTCATAGCATCAGAGGTTTTTGCCGTCCTTAAACTTTTAGCCTTTCTTTCGTCCTTTCCGAGCTTCCCAGGTCGACAAGTATCCAACACGCTTCTGCGATCGAACAAGCCCTGCCGATTTACGAGCTCCGCAGACCAACAGGATCTCGTACGACCCAATTACGGGACGACGACATGGGCCCCGGTCTTCGATCCTCCCCAGACGACAATGACAACCCTGTCTTGCAGGACGAGCCCCGGTCCGCCCGCCAAGAGACGCAACTCCCACAGGACCCCGACATGCCATCAGCACTACCGGAGGGGAACTCCGTGTCTCATCCCGAACCTCCGTCGGAAAGTTTAATAGATGACAGGACAACCTTGTCCCAGGGGAACTCGGAGCGCCTCTGGCGAGGCCCGCCTTCCATGACTCCTCAAGTACGCCGAAGTCAGTCGTCGAGCCCTTTGCGCCTCACAATGCCCTTCATAACTCCGGGCCAGCTTGCCTTTTCGGCCATGCAATTTCTACCCGTTCCAATCCTGGTCTTGGATAGCCTCAAAACAGTGGTACTGGCTAATGAGTCCATGGGAAGGCTACTGGGAATGCCGTCAGATGCGACGGGAAAGGGGGATGATCTGTCTTCGACAATGGACCAACTCCGTGGCCAGACCCTGTCTCAAGTTGGTATCGATCTTATCCAGGATGGCATGCCGGTTTGGATTGCATGGGAGCACTTTTTGGACCAGATTGCCCTCGAGATGGGAGTTGGAAACAGCGGGGGAAAAGAAATCTTGAAGTCTGTTTTGCAAACTGATCCCGACGGAGACGCTACGCCACGCCAAGCAGAGCTCCCTCCATCGGCTTCCACTTCTTCACCGCGGTCTAGATCGACATCGGCTCAACCAGGAGATGGCGTGTGTGACGGGGATGCAGGCAACACAACCTGCCGCCCATCACCAAACGCTGTTGTGGATGTGGTCATAGTCAAGAGAGATATCGCCCGGTCAACATATCATACCCGCGCCCGGTCAGAAAGTTCTACATTCCACGCACAGGCCAAGATGATCATTTCGGTCTGGCAGTTGAGCCCGCAGCAAACCTTTTTTACCCTCACTTTCACCAACACCGATTCCAAGTATGTTCCCCCGGTTGGTGCCAAGAAGCTGGCTGGAAGGCGTGACGTTTTGGATGCTGCTGAAAAAAAGTACCCTTATAGCATAAACGACCCTCCCTCTTTGACATCAAGTCGTGATTCGCGTTCTCGCTCTCCGTCCTTTCCCCTAAGTCCTTCTGCGGTCGCCATGTCTTCCAGTCCTTTCCCTCCGCTTGGACCTCCGTCTCACTCTTCCATCACCAGTGCTCCTTCCATGCTCCAAAAGATCACTGTCATGAAAGATGCCCTTCTGGATAAGACACAAACGCCAATCATCGCCATGTGGAAGGACGGGAGTGTGATCCTTCCCAACAAACCTGCCCGGCGCCTCTCCTATCCAGACCCTGTGCAAGGCGCTCCCCTCGAAGGTTTCAACCTCTTGTCACAGTGGAGAATGTGGACAGATGATTTCAGCAGACAGCTGGAGACCGATGAATACCCAATATCTCTTATGATCAAAAGTGAAACGCCCTTTGAAAGCTTCAGAGTCGGCATGCTGGGTCCAGACGGCGAGCGACTAATATTCGACGTTGAGGGAGCAGTGATTAGAGATGAGATCACAGGCGAACTTCTGGCGGGTGTGACAACATGCAGGGACATCACGCGAATCGAGCATGAAATCAGTCAGATCAAAGCAGCAGACGAGGAAAGGTTTAGATTGATATGCGAGACCATGCCTCAGCTCGTGTGGACTGCGGGACCAGACGGCGCACATGACTTTTACAATAGCAGGTGGTACAGCTACACAGGTCTGAGCGTAGAAGCTTCGCTAGGCGGAGGCTGGAGAACGGCGTTCCATCCCGATGACTTGGCCGAGGCTGACAAGCGATGGCAAAATTCAACTCGAACCGGCGAGCCATATGTGATAGAGTACCGGTGCCGCAGCAAAGATGGCGAGTGGAGATGGTTCCTTGGCCGTGCGCTGCCTCTGAAAAACAAACAAACAGGGGAAATTGAAAAGTGGTTTGGTAAGTGGCATTCTGTTGTCTCAAAAAGCATCGTGTCTAACCACTGTCATAGGAACCTGCACTGATGTGCACGAAACTATGGAAGCAAAGCTCGAAGCCAAGCGGACAAGACAACAGCTACGTAGCGTCATTGCTCACTCGCGCATGACCATGTTCGCTGTTGACCCCAATCGAAAGGTTACCTTGCTGGAGGGATCGTTAATATGGGATGCTCTCTCGCCGGAGTGTGGCAGCTCCTCTTGGTTTATCGGGAAGGATGTTTACGAAGTTTTCAACAACATCAACCAACAATTACCGGATGGCCAAACGCCTGCTTTTCTGCAGCCTCTTGAGTCCATACTTGGCGGAAAGTCACCGGTGGAACTGCAGGACCACAAGTTTGGTAAGTACCATCACAGATCTAAGCATTTGATTGTTTTGAAGAGTCTAACGACAGACTCAGCAGGTAGATGGTACCGCACCGGTTTTCAGCCCATTCTCAGGAGAGATCCTCTTACCGGAAACTCAACAGAGGATTTCATCGAAGGCGTCATGGGCTTTATAATGGACGTAACCGAATTAAAGGATCGCGAAAGGGACATTGAGGCTCAAGCACTGGAGAAGAGACAACTTCTAGCCAATGAAGCAGCCGCAAAGGAAGCAAGCCGGCTCAAGAGCCAGTTTTTGGCCAATGTGAGTTTATCAGCTCACTTCCCACATTGCTTCCGAACTAATCGTTCTAGATGTCTCATGAGATTCGGACACCCATTACCGGTGTGATCGGAATGGCGGAATTATTGCTTGATGTTGAGCTTGATGCTGAGCAACGAGAGCTAACGGAGAATATTTTCCGTTCCGCGAACGCACTTCTGACTGTAATCAACGACATTCTTGACTTCTCAAAGATTGAGTCTGGGCGACTGGATATCGAAGAAGTACAGTTTTCATTAGCCGTTGTTATTCAGGAGGTCGGCAAGATGCTTAGCTTCACCGCTGAGCGGAAAAGCTTAGCCTTTAACTACGAGATTTGTTCAGATATTGGGATTGATCTCGTGGTTATGGGAGACCCTGGACGTGTGCGGCAAATCATCACGAACCTGGCCACGAACAGCATCAAGTTCACACATGAGGGTCACGTTAAGCTACATGTCTCTGTCGAACAGGAAACGAACGATACTATTGAGGTCAAGTTCGTGATTCAGGACACGGGCATTGGTATTGAAGAAGAAGTGCTCAAACGGCTCTTCCAGCCTTTCAGTCAGGGAGATCCCTCGACAGCGCGGAAATTTGGGGGTACCGGTCTAGGGTTGACCATTTCCAAGAACTTGCTGGAACTGATGAAAGGGCGCATGGCGCTCGCATCCAAAAAGGACGAAGGAACTACAGCCACGTTCTGGATCCCATTCAAAAAGCCACAAAAAGCACAGTCGATTACCGGCCCGCTATCTGACAGATTACAGAGCGAGACAAGCGTGTCTTGTATCTGCCCGGCTCCGGCTGACCAGGAGTCAGGTGCGCTGAGCGGCGAGCAGAGGTTGGCATGGAGACAATCCTCGACAAGCCTCTCCCCCACCACCTCGCAAGAGGAGCTCTCCATGCCGGACCGCAGCAAGATCTTTATCCTGGTAGTCGAAGACAACGAGATCAACCAACAAATCGCCATCAGGACGATCAGAAAACTAGGCTTCCAAGTCGCGGCCGCCTGGAACGGCAAGGAAGCTCTCGAATACCTTTCTAAAGCCAGCACTGGCAAGAAACGGAAACCGGACATCATTCTGATGGACGTACAAATGCCTCTGATTGATGGGTACCTGTGCACCCACCTCCTCCGGCACCACGCCCCGTACAGAAGCTACGTGAGAGATGTGCCGATCGTGGCCATGACCGCCTCGGCAATCCAAGGCGACAAGGAAAAATGCAAGAGGGCGGGCATGGATGATTACCTGTCCAAACCTGTCAAAAGGACAACGCTCGAAAGGATGTTGCTGAGGTGGTGCACTACCAAAAGGGAAGAACTCTCGCCGGTTACATCGCAATGCACAGAGTCTGGTGAGCATTGTCAGAGTGCTGGTATTCCTGCTGTTGGGCTGAATGAAGAGCCGTCTGAATTGGACTTGAATGCGTATGACAACGTTGATGATCATGAAGGGTCGAATCTTGCTACGCCTGTGGGTCCTGGCCGAGTTGCAGAGGGGATGTCTCCAGGGGGTGGTGCTGAGGTTGAGCAGTCTCCGACGGCGGGATACTTTTCGTCAGGGTCAGGTTCTGGACACGGCGTGCCAGACGCGACAAAACCAACAGGAGACCCTGGTGAGCAGACAGGGCTTGGTCAAGCTGAACAGCTTCTTGATGCCAGTTCGCATCACCCATCACAACCGAGCGTGGCAGATATGACGACAAGTCCGGCCTCGATAGAGCGGAGGGAAGGAGAGGCGTTGACGGAGGAAAATCTGGGCAAGCTGCAGGAAGAACAAAACGAAGAATTGCAAAGCATCTAATAAGTAAAGGGAATGGGGTGGGAATGAAATGAATATCTTTTCAGCGGAAAGCGGAATCACTTCCTTTTGATAAAAGGGACATCAGACCTGGGGCATAAAATGTATGGACTGGGTTTGTGTACAGGTTAAGGCATGATATCAACGGGGTTCTTTGCTAGAACAAATAGCTTTATTGCCTCTGTTGCTTGCGTCCATGTGAGCATTTCCGAAGAAACATGGCAATGGACGGACAGATTCAGCGGAGATAAATGTTTGGGTGCGGACGAAAAGCAAGCGGTGTTGTAGGTAAAGAAGGGATAGGCGCAAGAAGCAACGTGATAAATTCAACGCTGCTAATCACCACATCTAAGGACTGTCATGACGGTGTGCGCTGACATCATTTGTTTTAGGTATTGCGGATCAGACCGGCACTTAGACTACCTCATTCAGCCAGCCAACCATCCATCCATCCATCCCTCCCTCCCTCCCTCCCTCCCTCCCCAAACTGAACTATTTTGTGACTAATTATTCTAGCCTCTCCGTCTCCCCTGAGCCGCAGCAGTCCTCCCTCCACCACCACCACCACCGGCATTACCCACCTGTCCCTCAGGTGTAGTGACCACACCAGAAGAACCCCCCGCAGCAGGCACAGCCGTCGTAGTAGATGGCACGGACAAAGAAGGATGTTCCCTCGTCAAGCGAGCGTACAGCCCCTCTTGCTCATCCGCTTCCATGGCCATTCTCCTTCTTTGGGCACGGAGGGCCGAGGCTTGTTGAGCGGCGGCACGTTGGTGGGCTTGTTGGGCCGCGACGCGCTGGGCGGGGGTTGTTGTTGTGGTTGTTGTTGTGGTTGTGGTGGTGGTTGTGCGGGGAACTGGAGTGGGTGGAATTGGAGGGGGGATGTTTTGGGATTGGGAGAGGCGGCGGCGGGTGTTGGTGTTTGTGTTTGTGAGGGTGTGGGTGTTTTGGTGAGGGGGTTGCTGCTGTTGTTGTTGGTTATGGTGTGTTGTTTGGTGACTGTGTTGGGACTGAGAAGCTTGAGGGTGGGGGGCACGTTGTTGTTGTTGTTGTTGTTGTTGTTGATGAGGTTGATTCACCGCCAGCGGCGGCGTAGCAATCACCTGGTTCCCAGACTGCGCTGCGACGGAGGGAGTATGGAACTGGATCTCATGGCTTTCAACTTGCAGACCGTAGCCGCCGTGCAGGTGGTAACCGGGTGGGAGAAGCATTTCCATTCCTTCCATGTTGTTGTCATCGGAGGAGGAAATAAAGGGAATGTGCGTGTTGATGTCAAGGTCCATTTCCCCTGCGTAACCACCGTATCCTCCTCCTCTTTGGTCGAGTCGTTGGGTTTCTTCTTCTTCTCCTTCTGTTTCGTCTCCTGCTTCTTCTTCTTCTTGGGCGCCGTCGTCTTGTCCTGTGGCAGCCGGGGTTTGCTGTTGTCCTGCACGTGTTCCCGTTGTTGTTGTTGTTGTTGTTGTGCCCCCGCGCAGTCCTCTTCTTCCTCTTCCTCCCCCTCCTCCTCCCCCTGGCATGGCAGATGGAGTTTCCACCGCTGTTGCTGTCGTCGTTGGTCCAGTGGGTGTGACTGCCGCGCGTGATTGATGGCCGCGTGGTTGTCTCCCTCCAGCAGCAGCAGCTGTTGTGGCTGGTGTTGCTCTAGTACCGGCAGTATCACCCCTTCGACCGGCCGTAGTGGTGGTGGAGGTCTGTGCTGTGCTCGTCGCCCTCTCTTCCACCTGAACCTGACTTTGCTGTTGTTGCTGTTGTTGTTGCTGTTGCTGCGCAAGTCTCTGCGCCGCCTGTCTCTGCGCCGCCTCCCGCTGCTGCTCCATCATCCTCGCCTGTCTCTGCGCATGGCGCTGCGCATAGTAGCTTTCGTCACCGGCATCATCTTCTTCTTCTTCTTCTTCACTCTCTTCTTCATCATTACCAGTACCCATGTACTGTTCGCTTATCCTTGCACCACCGCCACCACCACCGGTACCAAAGCCTAACCCACCACTGGCCCCAACATTCCCAACACCGGGATGTTCCCTTCCAAAGATCCTCGCTCCTGCACTGGGTTGTTGTTGTTGTTGCTGCTGAAGTGGTTGCGCGTGACCATGACTGTGGCCGTGACCCCGTCTCATGGCATCCTGACGGGCTTGTGTGCGAGCAGCCATGTCGCGGGCTTTTTGGCGCTCAAGGGCTCGGTCTTCATACGACGCTATGTCTTCGGCCGTGATGTTTAGGACTGTCAAGGGGCGGCGGAGCATCTTGTCTTTTTTTTTCTTTTCTTTTTTTTTTTTTTTTTTTCCTTTTTTCTTCTTTTTTTGACTGGTTTATTCCTGAGTGTTTTGGGAGAAAAGGTGAAGTAAGAGGGAGGTGGAGTTCAATGGTTGGGTTGCTGTTTGTTATCCTGCAAATGGGATGGTCGGAATAGCTAGGAGGTGTAGATGTCTTGTTGGGTTGTGTAATTGCTAAATTTGTTGATGTCGCTGGGTGACTGAGGTATTGTGATCAGAGTGAGTGAGAAGTGAATTGTGCGCTGTTGTGCGCCATATGACGGACGCCCTTGCGAACGGTTTGCGACGGCGACTATGTGTGTGATGCGGGGCACAATATCGATTGCGGCATAGAGTTGCACCAAAAGTCCGTCTAAAGAGGTAGGGATCGTATTGATACTCTCTGAATATGTAGAGGGAAAATAAAACGCAATGGTCCGTATGAGTAGTATCCTGTGATTGTTGCGAGGTGGCTCATCGATTGATGTAAGTTGATGGAAGGTCGCCGCCCCATGGGAAACGCGTGTGGAATATTCCAGGGTTGAAGGCGCGTGGATGTCTTCGCTCGGACGGGTTATTCTACGTGGCTGCAAATCAGGGGTTAGGGTTATGTAAGGAACTGTGCTGGATACGGTACCCCCTTTTTTGCTTTCAACACTACCAGTTTCAGCAACACCCTCCGTACGTGCACACGACCTTTGGGGAATTCGTATGAGTAGGAAGGCCTTGTGAGTTGCTAGCCGTTTCGTTGTGTCTGGGTATCAAATGGAATTCAAGCAGAGGCTGATGCATTGACGTTGGTAAATTGACTATAAAACACATCAAGAATAAACCGAATAAGATTAACCCGCTATGCAACGCAAAGACGCTTGGCAGGTAATGATATGTACATCGCACGCAGTCTCGTCTCAATGTGTACTACGTGTAGTTTTGTTTGCTGGATTGCTCCTCAAATATTATCAATCGCAAACTCGAAAAAAGCATGCCGACCCAAGCATCAAAACCAAGACTCTAACCAGAGAGGTGATGTGAGGAGTGGTCCGGACACGCTTACACCCAACCATACCCAGCAAGTGTCCGAACCTATTTTTCTCTCACATCACCTGCCAGAGTAACAAGGTTTATAACTTATTTAACGCGAGCACGACAAGAACCACCGCCAGTGCGTCTGCGGCCGCTTCCAACCGGGCTGGTAACGTTGTTGATGGGCAGAACGTCCGGTACCGCGGGTGTCTCCGTCTCCTGAGGAAGCTGAGTGCCAGGCTTGGCAGCAAAGCCCAACTTGGCGCCCTTGGACCAGTCATCCTTATCGATCACACCACCCTGGAACACAACAAATTGGGCCTTGAAGAAGATGTCTCCGTAAATGGAAAAGGGGAAGCCCTGGGCGCTCTGGAGGCCACCGTAGCACCACTTGGCCGTCGCAAAGTCATCGGTGTCGGCGGGAGCGTACTTGATGAGATCACCGGTGAGGCGAGCCTTGTAGGAGCCAATGTGGAGGATGAGGTCCGGGAGGTCGGCATTGCAGGGGAATACATAACCACCAAAAGCATTGTCGCTGCGGGCCTTGGCGACCTGACCGTAGTAATCCTCGACGATGGGCTGGGGGAGCATGAGGAGGGTGGTGCCGGTGTCGGCAATGGCGGTGTGGGTCAGGGACTGGAAAACACCGGTCTTGTTATTGGACTCGGTAAAGTTGGAGGCGGGAAGGGTATAGCCGCTGGCCTCGAACTCCCAGAAACCGCGGGAAGCATCAACGTCGACGAAGCTGATGGGACCGACGAATTCCTCATGGTCGAGGAAGCCAAAGTTGTAGTTGCCAGGCTCAGCCTTATTGAGATTGGCACTGAACAGCGGCATGGCTAGGTCGTCGATCGCATTGCCGAAGAAGGTCTTTTGCTTGCGGGGCTTGACCTGGTTGATGGAGTCAAAGGCGAGACCGACGAGACCGGAGGAGGCAGCGTCATTGGTGAAAGAGTTGGACACATGGGTGGCAATCTCAACAGCCTGCTTGTCCACCTCGACGCCGCCAATGCTAACCTTGTCAGTGTAGACATTTCCGGACGAGCTGCTGCCGTCACCGTACGAGATCCTCCAAACATGACCGTCGACGAGCTCGGCGGTGGTACTCTGGGTCATGTTGTAGATCTTCTGGCCATTGCGCTGCTTGGCAGGGGTCTCGGAGCTGAAGACCCAGAGATCGGAAGAGCCGGTGTCGAAGTTCATCATGACCGTCTGCGGCGGGGAGCCGATCTGGACGGGGGCGAGATACTGAACATCGAATTGGACAGGCGTAGCATCAACCTCACCTGTAAGGGAGGTCAGTAAATGGAGCGCAGAGATGGTCCCAAAACAAAGGAATACGTACCCTGGGAACCAGCTGAGAAAGAGCCGTCGTTCAAGGCGTGGAGGTTGCCAGGGATCTTGACGCCCAGGTCGCCAAAGACGCGGACGAGGGCCTCGCGAAGGTGGTCGGGGAATTTCATGTTGAACTTTGTGTAGACCTTGGCGACATCTCTGATGCCCTTGCCCTTAACCTTGTGTTGGTATTTGTGGTTAAAAATCTGGGAAATCTTGAAACTGTGACCGCCATGTTTGCGGACCTGAAGGTCCTCGGCGCGAACCTGGATGACATGAGGGTCACCTGCAACCAGACCAGCAGTTGAGAGAACAGAAGCCGCAACGGCGACGATGGGGAACTTCATCGTGACAAGAAAGACAGGATAGGTGACGAAGGTGCTGAACCGTTAAAACGAGTGTGGGCCGAGAAGGGCGACCGCGGACGTTTGCGGCGGTTCTCGGGCTTTGTTGGTTAAAGGAGCGTAAGGTTCGACGACGAGTCGAAAGTGAAAAGAGAGTGAGGGAGGACGAGTCAGGCCGGTGTTTTCGTCAAGAGGAGACTGGCCGGTAGAAGAAAAGGAAGAAGGTGGAAGAAGAAGAAGAGAAGGTGATAGGAAGCCGTCGTTGAAACATCGGGGCAGTGCGGACGTATCTTGGTCGAAAGGGAAAAAAGGAGGACCACCTACCTAGGAAACGATGATGGGACTAGGCAAACCCTTGTGTCGTCCCGTGTTCATCTGGCCGTCCTCCGTTGCTCGCCTCGGTCCTCCCAGGGGCAAGCAATCTTCTGGTGACGATCCCCAGCCGGTGCGAGCTTGGCATCAACCGAGCAGTTTACCAGCTCTGGAGTGTTTTGAAACCATGACAACCAACTGGCCGGCCTGATGGCCTCTTTGTTTGCTCGGCTCCTCGCCTCCACCTTTGATGAGTATCGACTTGGTACGCGCGGAAACAAACAACCCTATCAGTGCCTGTATCTGAGGCCGAATCTGACGGCATCCAGATAGCAAAGTGACAGGTGGGCCTACCCATGGGCAGCGTGTTTCGGAAGCTAACATGTGGTTGACCATCGCAATTTTGATTCAGTGGGTAGGTATCATTGGAGGTAACGATCGGTATTGAGAGCTCCATAGCCAGAGTAGCGCTCGCTTGACGTACCCCTTGACAACATATGTGGTGTACCCTACACCATGCAGGGGGAGGAAAGGCCATCGAAAGGGAAAGGAACAAGAACCAAGGGATCAATGCCCCTGAAACAATGGAGCATGGCATGGACACTACATACATAGCACTAAAAATGTACTACACTATGTATGTACGTACCACCGGCCACCACCCACCAACCAGGACGGGAGTGGCGTTGCCGACTTGCGGGGACAGCCTCACGCCGAACTGCCAAACGAGCCAACCGCATCGCCCACCGATGACAGCCTACCGCAGCGGCCACCGTTGATCAGCAAATCGGGGTCCGGTGGTGCTGGGGTGCCACTATTCCCATCTTGGGAAGCAGATTGAAGCTCCGAAAACCTGAAACGGCGCTTCCGAGAGCTTAACGCAGACAAGCTCGGGGTCGTCGTCCTTTATTCGCTGCCGCACATGGTCTCCCCAAAGTCGTCCCCCTTTGGCGCCGTCCGGAATGATATTTTCCTTTTTTTTTTATTTATTTTTATTTTTTTTTTTCGAGTCGAGGTCGGTCGGCTTTCAGATGGTCAGATTAAGATTGGTTTCGATGATCTTTGGGTCTTGTTGGGCTGAGGCCTCCGACTTATCGGGAGCACACGTTTGCTCTGCTTCCTCTCCGGTTGGACGCTACGCTCATTCATCCAGACAGACAGTTCTCGTCACACAAGGGCAATATCGGACACCCCGAATCATCTTGTCCCGAGTCTCGGCATGACAGGGGCCTCGCCTTTTGGCCATTTGTGGGCTGAGATTGTGCACACTTGGCAGATGGAAGGATCATTTCCGATGGGATAAGGACTAGGTATAAACAAGACCGGTGAGCACGCTCGGGAGTATGGTCTGAAAGGATGGAGTTGCCTGGTGATGCTCTTGTCATTGCGGTTGGGGTTGAATCAATGTCGTCAACTCGGCAACCCTTGAGCCCGCAAATTATTTTCGTGTTGTTGTTGTTCGGCACTTGTCGCAGCCAATGTGGGGTTCACGCTAGGAGAGAAGACCACTGTACGCTTCCCACAGAAAATGCTTCCTCTGAGTGCGCTTTGAGCTCTATTTCTTGTAAGCACTAACAGCAGCATACATTCACCAACAACGCCACTGCCTCTGCAAATCCCACTACAGGCAACCCAGCTGACGCACTTCTTCTCTGCGTTATGCTCTTCGGATTTGCTGCTTACTTAGCAAACTGAGGGATATGATCCGGCCCTTCTGCATATTTCCCTGGGACACTTGACTGGTTTTAATCGCAAACTCGGAATAGCACTTGGAAATCGCCCAACCCACCCCGCCATTCCACCCCCAGCGCAAGCTGAGACAAGAACTCAACAACGTGAGAGCAAGGCTCACACAACATTTCCTCCTTCACAGTCCTCCAAAATGTCCGAAATAGACCCCTTAGTCCTCGCCTACTCCCACCTCCACCACCTTCCCCAGCCCTCCTCCGCCCTCCACCTCCTCAAAAAGATCGCTTCCCTCGTGAAACCGCTTATGCGCGCCCGCGGCTGGCGCGTCCGCGAGCTGGGCGAGTTCTACCCGGAGCAAGACAACCTCCTGGGACTGAACATCAACCGCGGCGCCAAGATCCTTCTCCGTCTTCGCTACCCCTCCGACAAGTCCCTATTCCTGCCCATCGAGCAGGTCGCAGACACGATGCTGCACGAGCTAGCACATATCGTTCACGGCCCGCACGACGGCAAGTTCCATGCGCTGTGGAATCAGCTGAGGGATGAGCATGAGGGGTTGGCGATGAAGGGCTATACAGGGGAGGGGTTCTTATCGGAGGGACGACGGCTGGGGGGTGGTTCTTTTAACAGAGGACAGATTCCGATGCATGAAGCAAAACGGTTGGCGAGGGAGCAGGCCGAGAAGAGAAAGGTGCAAACAACACCAAGTGCCGGGTCGGGACAGAGGCTGGGAGGCACGAGACCTAGGCCGGGTGAGGATATAAGGAGGGTGATTGTTGATGCGGTGGAGAGGAGGAACAAGACTTTAAAGGGCTGTGGAGTGAAGGATACGGGCGACGAAGGGCTGGCTGAGCAGGAAATTCGTAGGATTGAGGAGCAGGCGACTAGGAATGGCTTTCGCTCCAAGGCAGAAGAGGATGAGGCGAACGAGGCGGCGATTGCGCAGGCGCTGTGGGAACTGGTGCAGGAGGATGAGAAGAAGAAGTTTGGAAGTGGTTATGTGGAGCCGAGTAGGGAGTTTCCGGCAGGGAGTCAGGGGGGTTTCCTACAGAATGAAGAGAAGGGCAGGGGGTTGGCAACGTCGTCTTCGTCTGCAAAACCACCGCCGATCCCTTACCATACTAAACCAACAACTAGGCCTACTGTCTCTTCTTCTTCTCCTCCAGCACCCCTCGCAGCAGAACCATTCAACGAACCCTCGACAGGCTGGGTCTGCAATATCTGCACCCTCCACAACCCCGACACATTCCTCTGTTGCGACGCCTGCGGTACCGAACGCTCACCTCAAGCTTCCACCACCACTGCCCCCGATCCCAGAAAGAAGACCCCAGGCACCAAATCCAGTTCTAGTTCCAGATCCGCTGGAAAGCGTCCAAGCAGCTCGGTGGTCGACCTGACCAAATCCCCGCCCTCCATTCGTACACGGCCGTCATCAAGCTCTCATGGGTCTAGGTCACATTCAAACTCCCGAACGGTATCAGGAACAGGACCGAGCAAAGACAGAGACAAAGCAAAATCCATCCTCCAAGCTCAAGCCGAAGCCGAAGCCGCTCGCCGTAAATTGCTCCGCGAGACGTGGCAGTGCTCGTTCTGCGGACAGAGGATGGAGAAGCAGTGGTGGACTTGCTCTACGTGCGGGAAGATGAAGGATAGTTCCAGATGATTAATGACGGGTAGGTATGGTAGGGTATGGGTAACGATGTCATGATTGATTATGTGCATTTGACGGCTGAGTAATGGATCACAATAAAATAACGCAAGATAGGTTGTGAGGCTTCGTTGTCGGCATGATACCCGGGTTATTGGACTTTGCTTGAGATGATGGATCTAGTGCATCAACATCAATCTATGATTCTCATCCACCTAACGACTCACAGAAACCATTTCACCATAACAGCCGCGCAAACACCGCTCCCCCGACCACTAACGCCAGCTCCAAGACAAGTCTAGTTGACTTTGACTTACCACCAGCAGCAACAGAATCAACATCACCTTTCAGATCGTAAACCTGTTTGACTCTCCTCTTTAGCACACTTATACCTCCCAAGACTAAAAAGAAAAGGATACACATACACTGATCCTCAAATTTCCTCCACAGACTTGGCTCTCGTCCCCGTCACAGGGCAAGTTGCACTCGGCATCGGCGACTTTGGAGGAGAGAGAGAAGAGTTGAGAGGCGCACCAACATTCTCTGTATTGGCGTGAAGGTTGGACATGATTGGTTAACTTTCTCTCTTCCTTCTTTCCTTTTCAAACACTGTTTATTCTTTCCCCTTTCCCGCGTTCTTTCGTTCTTTGGTCTCAAAACGCTCGCCTTTTCCTTTTTTCCTACCTACCTACCCCAAGTAGAAGGATTGCGAAAAAGAAGAAGAGAAAGAAAATATGGAAAACTCTCACCTCGAATACTCCAACCCAGCAAACCGATACCCTTTCTTCTCCATCCCACCCTTACAGAACCCCAAACATTTCTCCACCGTCATCACCCCCGGCAACACCTCATTGATGCCGCCATACAGCGCCCTAGTTCCACTACCACCTGTTCCCGAGAGGCCGGCGGTGGTCTCGTTGTAACAACCAATGTATTTGTAGCCGTCTGTTCCGGCTGCTATCGTCGCTGTAGTAGTGAGCAGCAGTGTTGTAGTTTTCGTGGGTGGTGAGCTCAAAGTTGAACTTGTTTCCGCTGCTGCTGGGTTGACTGCTGCGAAAAGAATAAGGAATACGACGAGAGAGATGAACAAGTTAATGTTGTTGATGATGACGCAAGTGGTGCGGTGGCGGCGAAGTATGTGGCGACTTGATGATGAAGCCGACGAACCGGAACAAGACAGCAGCGGCATAGTGGCTTGCAGATAGATAGATAGATGAAGTGTAACACTGAGAGACTACTGCTGCATCTGATGAAGCGCAAACAGATCAGTGGTGGTGCGAGTGTGTTAAAGATGGAGCTGGTGATGATAACAAATTCAATTGCGCGCGACGCGTCAAGATCCTTGACAAGAAGTCAATGACATAAACTGGAAAATGAACAAGTCAAAGTTTTTTCCAGTCATTCACCGCGTGAATAAAGAAAGAAAGGGGAAAGCCAGTCAAGGGGAGTTAGTTCCCCTTCCTAGCCATCCATCTAGGATAGGATCCCAACAACCATTCAGCCACAAATCTCCAAGATCTATCCAATCGCTGCTGCTGTAATGACCACCCAAGATAACAACAGTGGGAGTTGGGAAGCTAGGTACAGTATCTATAGGGCTGAACATTCAAATGACCGACGGGATTCTTCCACGTTAAGAGATAAAGGTGTAGAAGCTGAGAGCTGAAGACAGGGGGGTCCAATCATCACAAGCTTTCATACCACCTGCGTTGCTTAAACGTGCAAGCTGACTGCAACGCTGACGCATAATCTGCTCCTATCCCTGCGTAGCATTCATTATTATCTGATAAGCTTCCTTCTATGAGCTTTCTCGGGCCATTCGGACTTTTCCCCTTACTGCTTCAGATCCTAAATACCCGCCCTCACACCTGACTTTAACTGTTTGGGGAGTTAAGCTAATGAGCTCCCGTCATCCTCAAAGTCCTGCGGAATATATACAGAGATGAGCATAGATACATCGATGATGGATGAACAAGAAATCATCAAGTTCAAGGGGCCCAAGAAGTCTGAATTCAGTAAATCTCTATCTCTGTCTTCAAACTCCCAGCATCATGCCGTGTGCCCATCCATTTAGAAGTTGCAAATGATCTGGAAGGCATGTGTTTACTTCGCGTAGATCACATCGCCAAATTAGTGTTCACGTAAAATCCGATTCTTGCAGCAAGGCTCCGCTGGCATGTAAAAAAAAGCTCTCCGCGCGTAACTCTATAGTCATGAACCCTCGCATATTAATTAGTTTGTTCTTCAAATGAGTATAGCATCAAAGACCGGCAGGCAGTATGAGATAGTAGCTCCGGCAAAAGAAGGCACGTCGCTCGCACGATATTCGCTTGTATCGTTCTTTTCATCGTTGGCTCATTGGACTCCGTAAAAGCCCAAGTCGGGGTATGTCCACTAGCCGACTCAAACTGACAAAACTGCCTAACTCAACCCCTCAATCTTGACTCGGAGAGTATGCTCCCTCATCCCAAGTCGAGTGCGATGCTCAACAAAGAACTCGAGCTCGCACGGTCAAGCCCGACGCTCACACTCTTCGCAGGCGATCAATTAGAGCTCTTCAAAGGTGTCGGGCTTGGGAATTTCCGTGCCCTCTGGGTCTCGGTAGAGCCTGAAGACGCGTATCAGCGCCGACCCAAGAAAACATGGTCCTTTTCATCGATCTCAACCATCGACCGGTTTCTCGAAGTACTCGAGCGGCCAACAACGAAACAATACGTCCATATCATCTTCACCCCTTCGTGCCCATCCTCCTCTCCCACAAGTTCTTACCACCTGCTGGTGCACCCAAGGTACGGGTAATTGGACCTATCCCTCCCCGCTTCCTCCGTCATACTCTCCTTTAACAAATATTAGTCAACCTTCCACCCGGCATACGGAGTAAACTATTCTTAAATCTCCAATATCCAAAGTCGTAGCGATGGCAAGCCGGCTGGAACTACTAGCCCCGAGACTAGCCCCACTCGAGCATACGATCCTGAACTTCGCCTCGCGCTTCCAAATAAGTGTGAGAAGGTCCCACTAGAAAAGCATATCGGCTGTGTACTTGTAATATGCCAGGACATGATCGGTGATTGTGCTGTGGGTGATGGTGATTGGCTCGTTCCGGTTCTTGAGTAAGAGGCTGGGAACGTTGTGGTGGCCAACATGAAGCTCATGAAACCCACCTCCTTGTGCGTCCTTCATCATCTACAGTCTGCAAAGCTAACTGAGGTCTTCAGGACCGGCTTGAGTTCATCGGCCTCCGGTATGGTGTAGGCCAGACCATCGACAATCCACGGTTTTTGTAACTGAGGTCATTGTCTTCGCAACCAAGCTCAGACGGATTCCCCATCAGAGAAGGCGAGCCCTCGAGACGAACTTCGGGCAAGAATAGTCCGGCACCACTCGCAGATTCCGCAATAGATAGGAGTAGGATCTGACACGGCGGCATTTGTCGCCGCCTGTCCTTGTGAATAACGAATAGGAGGAAGTCGCATGAAGTCATCAAGTAGCCCGTTTTGCAGCTGCGTGATTCGACGCCGCTGCTCACTCGCTTCTCCCGTTCTGCCCAGGGCTGCCACATAGCTCTCACTCGCTTTTTTCAGAGCGAGGAGATCGGGAATCTGCACGGGATAATCCTTGGGCGGTGTTGGACAAGATCGTTGGGGGCTGCGTTCTTTGAGAAGCCGTTCTCGGTACTTCTCGTAGGTATTGAGGTTACCGTCGAAGAGAGTGGTGTCCGACCCCGTGAAGCGTAGATGAGCTGTGGGATCGAAGTTCGGCATGCGGTAATAGATCGCTTGCTCAAAACCTAAAGAATCGGGCACTGGCAATTTTCCAGTAGAAGGCTTTTCCAAGCCGCGAACATAATTGATGAGCTCGTCCGCATCCTTCAACCTTTGCACGTGCCTCGCAAACTCAGTGTCGAAGCACCTAAAACACTCCTCAACTTGGATGGCATCTTCATTCGTCTTCGTTGACCACGTTAACCGTTTCACCATGTGGAGACGCGATCGAAAGGCGAAGCAACCCTTGGCGTGCATAAAACAGCCAGAGCACAATGGTACGTCGCGGACACAGGTGCCATCCAAAATAACCTTCAGCATCTCTCTCCTCCCGTTCTCGGCACCCTTGGTCAAGCGAGACAGTGTTCGCACAGGGAGGGCGTCCAGAGAACCGCATTTGACGCACTTAACCTTGAGGGGCTCGGACTTGGGTTCGTGGGTTGAGGATGGTTTTTCTGGAGGCAGGCTAGGTGGTGGTGCCAAGGGGGTCTCTTGTGAGGAGGTTTTCTGTGAGGAGGGTCCCGCCATGATGGGCACAGAAGGTTCCATGATTGCTGTCACGAACAGTTAGCATTCCCACCATAGACAAGTAGAGGTGGCGCCAAAGGGTAAGGGAGAGACCGCGACACTCGAATGCAATTGTTCTCGAGTTTTGCGGCTTGAACAGCTGAGGAAGTGAGGGGATGAACTGAGGAGAACTGACCTAGAGGATAATACCACAATAATGATTAGCGTATAACAGAACGAAGAAACAATAAAGAAAAAAATATTTGACGCAGTGACGAGGCCAGAAACTGATATGGGTTGTAAGATGGAACACGTAGGAAGACAGCGGAGTAGACCACGAACAGGGAAAATAGGGAAATATAGTAAGTAGTTAATGGATGTGAACTCTGGCAAAGGACTGATTGCGTGAGAATGAGAGAGGTGCAGTATTCCTTCCCTTCTGCTTGGTTGTTTCTTGCCGCGTGGCGGAGATGAAAAAGAAAAAAAAAATTGCAAAGAGTAGCAATAAGCAACAGAAACACAACCTACCTCCAGTGGTAAAGCAGGCAGGAAGTTCTTGAGATAGCAGCGAGCACCCATCAGTTGAGCTCTGTGGCACCAAACTCTTAACCCTATTCTTTCCTCGCAAGGCTGAACGGTTGGGTAGATTATTCATAACGTAAGCCATGAGAGAATGAACCGTAGAAACTCGGGGAACCACTCCAGTTCGAAGCATTGAAGGCCTCCGAAATCCGAAGCATACCGTAGAGATTCGGAGATTAACTATTGCCAATTTCTCGAGTTTCTACGGTAGCAGAAGGACTCGTCAAACTTCGTTGGGTAGGTGCGAGATGTGATGGAACTAAGCACTCGGAGCAGCATAACTCACTGCAGAGCGGGTTGACTTCGAACAGCAGATAACACTGACTCTGCCTGGAAGCCGTATAGCAACCAAATCCCGATTGGACGAGTTGATACGGTTATGCTTCTTGACAACTGCCAGACCGATCCGACCAACATAACCTTACGTTTTCTGCATTATGCGAGATCCCGATTTTGCGAGTATCTGCAGGTGAGTATTTCCAATTTACCACGTGGAAGTGAAAAGAAGGTACAGTCGCTATCTCGCACCAGTTATTGCTGTCTGATCAGACTGTCAGACGCTTGGGAGTAGAAGTTGTCGACGCAAGAAGATGTCTCGGTGAGCATACGCATAAAACGGATTGAAGAAGAAGGGAAGGAGGACAAAGGGAAGGTGAACAGAGCAAGTGAACAGAAGAAGGCAAAGAGGTGAGACGGTAAAGAGATAACATGGTGAAGAAGCCAACGCCATTCCAAAGGTCAGGGGGAGGGGGCACTTGCCGGCTTGGATGAAAATAGAAGCCATGATGCTGAGTGCCATCTGGAGTGCTGTCCATCGATCTTGACTTGGCCCTTGCCAAGGCAGGTGGTACATAGAGGTGTGCATAGATGGTAGGCAGCCTCAAGTCACGGTACTCGGGCCCGGATTTATGTGCGCTTCGAGGTCGTTACTGCCTCGACGTTCAGACATTGCCCCTATTGGGACCGAGGGTTCGGTCGATCGGACGGGAGTTAAAACTGCTGGATCAGATTTCTGCCACCAGGTAGGTGTATAGTACACACAGGCATTTCTTCTTGCCGCAGCCTCGATTTTAAACCCAGAATATTGATCCGGATTGTGCCCGTCGACGGCGACCAGGTCGATTCCACTGACATTGCGCGCAGGTGCATTTTGTCGATTTTGTGAGGAATGAGTGTCCATAGACACCTTATTTGGGCGTGGGATTCTGAGGTGGGAAGTTCAGGGTCATGGTAAAACAACAGGCAAGTCTGCTGCCTAGTATTGGCGGTGCACCTCTTTACTTGCTCGTTTGGTGTCAACTGTTCAGCCAAAAGCGGCCACTGGTTTAGGTTTCCAGGTTGCCATATCTTTCTCACTGCTATACTGCTTGGTCGCTCTTTGTTCCCCGCTGACCTCCCCAGCTTCCAACCAACTTCATTGCCTTCTCTCCACCTCCCTCTAACCTCTCATCCTTCAATGCACCCGCAAGGCACTTCCAAGGGTCCTTGCTACCTCCCCACTTGAGCAGGTTTTCCTTCAACCTCTCTCCGTTTTCTCTCTGCAGTGCTGCTCCGCCTTGTCCACTGTTGAATACGACATTCCATACCCTCTGAGCCAAGACCCGGTCAAAGAGGTAACTGTAATATGTGCTGCCGTATCCGACCAAGTGGCCAAAAAAGCCCTGCCATGCCGTTCCTTGGGGGTCAGGCGGGGCGGTGCTGTACTGTCTCTGAAGGCTGTGGAAGATTTCGGTGGAGTCAATGTGGCCTTGCAACGCCTTGGACGAGTGCAATTCCTGATCGAGCATGGCAAGGATGATTTGATTTTCAGTATCCAGCGCCTCGAAGCGACGGGCCTCGCGGATCTTGTTGTCGACCCACTCATAGGGAAGGCGGTTGTCAGTCTTGTAGTGGCGTGCGAATAGGGCGAGAACAGACGGGTCAGCAGCAAAGTATTCCATCAAAGTAGAAGGAAGCTCGGCGAGATCAGTGGCGCATCGGGTACCACTAACGTTCTGGAAGGAGGTTCGGGCCAGGATGGAGTGAATCGCGTGACCCATCTCGTGGAAAAGCGTTTCAAGCTGAAAGAAAGACAGAAGAGCGGGCCGGTTGTGGGATTGCTGGGGAAAGTCACACACAAGAGCAATGGTGGGGAGTTGCTTGATAGCACCATCCTGGGAGCGAGAGTAGGCCATGCCATCATTGGCAGCAAACTCGGCAGACTCGAAGGAGGGAATCAAAACATGTGGGTTTTCGGTTTGGGTATGGGCAGTTTCAGCAATCTCGTGGGGTGACAGCTCACGAGAGCAGCGGAGAGTAAAGTGGGCTGGGTTGGGCGACTTGAGGGGGCGGTAAAATAGGTCGCAGTATAGGACGGCGACATGGCCTTCAACATCCGAGACAACATCTAGCCGACGCACGTCAGGGTGCCAGGTCTCACCGGGCATGGGCTCGCGGGGGACGAAGCGAATGCCGTAGAGGCGAGTGAATATCCTGGAAAGGCCTTGCATAACGGTGCCGAGGGAGAAGTAAGAGGACAGGTCTTCACGCTTCTGCCGGGACTTGATGGCCTGACGGATGGACTCGGCGTAAAAGTCCTTGTCCCAGGGCTCGAGGGTTGCATCGTCGCCCTTGTGCGCCCTCTTGGCTGCTGTGAGATCAGCCACCTCCTGTTGAGCTTGAGGTCTGGTGTTTTCGGACAGAGCTTGGAGAAACTGTCTCACAGACTCGGGGGTGCTGGCCATCATACGGTCATGGAGGACGAGGTGGCCATAACTCTCGAAGCCCGAGAGCTTGGCCGACTCACCACGCAACAACATGAGCTCCTCCAAGGTATGGACCGTCCTGCGGGAAGCGGTGCGAGAAGCCATGAATAGTTGGTGTCGGGCGTGGTCATCGCGTACAGTACGGAGTGCTATTGAGGCCTGGGGACTCAGAGTTTGGACGTACACTTTGCCCATGGAAGCCATCCTCTTGACCTCGACGGGATCCATACCCATCATCCTGGACTTTTCAACGGTGGTGTATGGGATCTTGGGTTCCATGTGCTGGATAAAGTTGGTTCCAGTCTGGCTAATTGCCGACGACAGGTGGACAAACTTGTCCCGGGCGTCCTTGGGCAAGTGGACGGCGGACTTGGCGAAGTCGAGCTTGAGGACCTCGGCCACCATCCTCTCCTCCTCAGACCAGGTGGTGCTAACAAGTGGGTTGTCCATTGCCTTGACCAACTGGTCGTACAAGCCCGTCATGGTGTTGAGCTGGTTCATGTACTCGTACATCATGTCCCAGGCCATCGAGGCGGTCCTCTGGATTTGCTGGTCAGGATGGGTGACGCGCACAAAGTCGGCCATGTCCAAGACGCGACACAGGATATCGCTTAGACGATCGAGATGGCGGACAATGGCGCGGTATTCGTCGAGGGATTGGGCGTTGAGGACCTTGTCGACCAGGGCACGAGCCTTTCCCAAGCTCACCTGGGCAAAGTCGAGGAAGCCATGGGGGCTGGTGAGGTATGCGTTGCGGAAGAGGCCGACGTTTCGGCCATGCTTGTCGCCAGAGAACTGCTTCCATGTTTCGGGCGAGTCGAAGATGGATCGTAGAAGAGAGTCATCGTGTTTTGTGTCGCCGTTCTTGTGGGTGACGGGGATGGCGCCCGTCAAGGTCTTGGGAGCATGCGCAGTAAAGCCTGTGAATCGTCGTCGTTGTTGTCTAAGCAAAGGAGAGAGAGTGCGTCGGAGAAGGCAGTCGGAGCAGACCCACAGCCGGGGCCTACCGGCTTTAATCAGAGGTTGTATCATGGTGTCGAGATGCCGACTGGGTTCGGAACTTGGGCGAGGAGGAGGATTACTAGATTATGTACCGTCGCTGGGTCGGGTCGGTATCGGGTTGCGGATGGCGGGGTGACCACAACTACCAGTGTGTCGTCTATGAGGCGAGCATGTGCCGCGATTGTTTTGTTGTGAATGCTAGAGCAGATCTAGAGGTCGGAATGGGGTGGTGATACAATTGGTGACATGAAAGAGCAGGTACGGTAATCAAGAGAGCAGAAAAAGCACGATGAGATGGGATTGAATCAATGCCAACGATGGAAAACCAAACAGAAAAGTCGAAAGTCAGGCAACTGAAGCTCTCCAGGTGCCCTTTCAGCGGGTATCGGTACGTACTCTCCATCAATACTCCGGGCAATTGACCGAACGGCCCGTATTGTAGTGTACCGCTGTAAAGGTTGGTAGCCGGTAGTGTACCTATATAGGTACCTCTACGTAACGGTCCCCTCACCCCGCCAAGAGACGATCCTCCCCAGTTGGTCCCCTCCGCTGCGGGAACCACCCCACCACGCCCACAAGCCGCGACCGCAGCGACCAGGGGCAGAAAAAGCAGGAAACAAAAGTCCCGAGTTCCCGGATTTTACCGTAACAATACGGGTTCCGCAGCTGTACACTACTAGCCTTGACAAGCTTGAATTGAATTGAATTGGACTTTTTGCGCCTGGCTCTTGTATGGACTCTGGACTGGCTTGTGCAGTGGACAATCCGACCGACGATTGATTGATTATCCTCCAACTGCCCTCATCCCAAGCTCTTTTCGCCAGCTCTACCTACCCACCTCTCCCCCCCCCTCGTCGACTCCATCACCCCCGACGCCGTCTTTCTTCCCTAGGTCAAATTGGGTTGGACAATGGCTGCCAGACTTGCTTTCCAACGGGTGAGCCGACCTCTCTTTTTATTCCTCTATGCGATTTCAAGGTCTCTCTGCATCATCACGTGTGCTGCGTCATAAGGTAAACATGGACATGGGATACAGATGAAGGCTGACTGACTTCTTGACTTTGATCACAACAGCGCGCCGCCCGGGCTACCGCCGCCGCCCTCGTCGGCTCCTTTGCCCTTGTTCCCACCGTCGCCTTCGCCGAAGCCTCCGAGAGCCGTGCCTCTGTACGTTCAAGTTCAGCCCGATGCCGTCCTCCACATGCGCGCTCGCTAACCCACGTCATGTCTCTGCCGAAACAGGCCAAAAAGCCCATCTACGACGATGACTTCGATGTTGTGCCATCCACCCCTTCCTTCACCTCCGCCGAGACCACAAAAGACGTCAGCTCTCCTGCCGCTGCCACCCTAAACGCTCCCGTCACCACCAAGTCTTCGACCAGGTCCGGCGAGAGGACTTTCACTGATAGCCTCATTGACGTCCTCGCCAGCACCAACACCCCCCGCGGCCCTACCCCTACCGACCGTCTGGCCGCCCAGATCCGCCGTGCCCGCCTGTTCCTCTACAAACAAGCCTGCGTCGCCGAGGACGCCGTCAACGCCGGCATGTCTCGCGCCTTTGACCTCGAGCACTCTTTCACCTCCACCGTTGCCGGCCTTGCCCCTCCCCGTGAGAGCGGCGAGCGCCTCATGCCAGGCCTCATCTACGTTCTCGTCTCGGGTATGGCCGGTAGCATCGTTGCGCGCAACCGCAACGTTGTCCTCCGCGGCGCTACCCCTCTCGCCTTCGGTCTCGGCGCCGCTTGGGTCGTCCTCCCCGTCACCATGAACAACGTCAGCTCGCTGGTGTGGAAGTACGAGCAAAAGTTCCCCGCCGTGGCGGACGCGCACATCAGGACCCGCGAGGGCATCGAGAAGGGTATCTACATGGCCAAGGTGCACGCCGAGATTGCGCAGCACAAGGTCGATGAGGCGGTTACCAGCGTGAGGGAGACGGTTGAGGGATGGGTTCGCAAGGGCAAATAAATCATCGCAGCATTGTCACTTATAGAGAAATGGGAACTAGGGAAAGTGGATGATGGTTGTGAAAAAAAAGAGTATCAAGAGCGGGCACAGGCACGTGGGGCTGTGACCTGTGTGTTTGTGTGTGTGTATATATGTACACATGTTAGGAATAGCTGGGCGATTCCAAGTGAAAGCGGAAAATAGAGATCGTGTTAAGTTTCAGGCGCGAGGGGAGCTCCTCTGCCATGTATATTGTCCGATATCACATCATGCTCACCTTTTGCCACCATTGATGTTTATTTTGTTAGCGTCACTCAGGGGCTGTCTCACAGGCTTGGCACGTGTTCCGCTTTGGGAAATCATCAGGCAGCTCCTGCATGTCAGCGGCTGAAGGATAACTTTGACTCGGGTCTTCTCTTCATCATCTCATCACCATCTCGACAATCAACCTCAAGAGAGTTTTCAGGGTCCGGCCTGCGACCAGCTCATCAAAGTCTTACTTTCGGTATCTAGACAATCAATCTCTATCCTGTCCAGAATCCTGCAATAACGGAACCAACCGTGTCTAGTGGCTCAAATCGGCAACTATACGATCTCCATTTCGTCTGCCTAAGATAAGGTGTTGTAACATAGGTACCTATGGAGTTGTAACTTCGTCAAAAAGTCCTCATTCATCGCTCTTTCGCCCGATCAGCAGCTATTCGATTCTCAAAATCAGTCTTTCTGTTCTCTTTTCGTTTCATCGGGCCATCTCACTCACCTCGACACAAATGAAGTAGACAGCCGACTCACCGACCACATCAACTCCCCAACCAAAGTGGTTACACTACACCATAACCATCACAACACGCCATCATCATCACCATCATCATGGCTCCCCTAGCCAGCGAACCCCGCCAAGTCCGAGTGGTCCTCGACCTCCCCAAGCGCAAGGCACTCTACACACTTGTCGTCGAAACGACAGATTGGATGCAATCCCAGCTCATTCTCAAAAACCCCAATCAGAACCCCAACCAGACCAGCACCTCCCGGCAACAATCCAGATCCTCAGGTCCATCTCTCCTCAACAACTTGGATAACGACGACGCCGGACAAACTGGCCCTCCTCTACCCAGCCGACCAAGCGCCAGTCCGCGCTCCAACTCCAATTTCAGTGGCAGTGACAAAATCGGCCCCCTCCGCGCCGCCGCCCTATCCCACTTCGACACCTGGCGCCCCTCGTTACTACAATCCCTCAAAGACCTCCTCAGCCCCGCCGATTCTACGCAAGAAATCGACGCCCGACGACAGCGCTCCGATCGGCTGGCCAGGCAAAGATTGGAGTCCCCAGCGCCTGGTGAGAACTTGATTGATTTCGGCGATCTTCTCGGTCCGGTAGCCGTGGAAGACGGCAAAGCCAAGGCTCTAAGGCAGCGACAGAGGGAGGTGGCGGCTTTGCAAAGCAGATACCATGCGATCCCGACGAGGTTGTCGGCTGCAAGTCAGGAGGATAGGGAGGAAGTGGTGGTTTGCCTTTTGTTGATGTTGCTGTCAAGTGGCAAGTATACAGCAGAGTCAAGGACGTTCTTGGTGTACCTGTGCTCCGCCTTGGAGTTGCCGCTTTCCTTCCTGAACTCCCAAGAGGCAGAGGTAGCTACCAGCTTGGTCGAGTCCTCGACAAGTCCAGAGGCACGGGAACAACAAATGTCAGCAGCCAAAGAGGCAGAAGAACGGAAGAAGGCCAATCAAGTGGGCCGATTCTGGAAAGTTGGCCTGGCTTCCGTTGCAGGAGCAGCCATCATCGGTGTTACGGGCGGCCTTGCCGCACCGGCCGTGGCGGGGGTTATTGGCGGGTTGATGGGTAGTGTCGGCTTGGGAGGCGTGGCCAGTTTCCTGGGAGTGTTTTGGATGAACGGTGCGTTGGTGGGAACACTTTTCGGTGCTCTGGGCGCACAAATGACGGGAGAGATAGTGGATCAGTATGCGCGCGAAGTCGAGGACTTTGCGTTTCTGCCATTGTCTGGCGGTACGAACCAGGAGAGGTTGAGGCTAACGATTGGTATCAACGGGTGGTTGACCGAGTCACTTTCTTCGTTGACTGCTCCCTGGTCGGCGCTGGATCCGAGGTCGTCGAACCTGTTTGCGCTGCGGTATGAGGTTGCGGCGATGTTGAATCTGGGCAATGCCATGAAGGCAATGGTCACGAGCGCGGCGTGGACATATGTCAAGGTCGAGCTGCTGAAGCGCACGGTGCTGGCGACGTTGTGGTCAGCTTTATGGCCGATTTCGCTGCTGTCGATGGCGTCGGCGCTGGATAACCCTTTCTCTCTGGCGAAAAACCGGTCGGAGAAGGCGGGCAAGATTCTGGCGGATGCGCTGATCAATCGAGTGCAGGGTGAACGGCCGGTGACGCTGATCGGGTATTCTCTAGGTGCAAGGGTTATTTACTCTTGCTTGCGTACGCTGGCGGAGCGGAGGGCATTCGGACTTGTTGATGAGGTCATCCTCATTGGTGCACCGGTGCCGAGCGATAGGGATGCGTGGGAGACGATGAGGAGCGTAGTCAGTGGCAAGCTGTGGAATGTGTGCTCGGGTAATGATTATCTCCTGGGCTTTATTTACCGGACCAGTTCCATTCAGTTGGGCGTGGCGGGACTGCAGGAGATCAGGGGTATTGAGGGTGTTGAAAATCTTGATCTGACGGGCACGGTCAAGGGACACATGCGTTATCCGGACATCTTGGGTAAGATTCTGGAGAAGTGTGGTGTTGAAATTAAGGAAGGATTTGGAGGCGAGATTGAAGCTGAGCAGGATCTCACGAGGGAGGAAGAAATCATTCTGGCAGATATGGAGGCCCAAGGAAAGCTTCCCGCGCTTGTCACGAAAAAAAGCAACCAGGAGGGCGGATTGGTTGACTTTGGGGAAGACGAGCATCAGTCGCATCATGATCCGCCGCCCAAGTACGCAGTGATGGATCCATATGCCTCTTCCTCGAGGCCGTTGATGGAGCAGCAGCAAGAGGAACAAACACCGCCGCTACCACCGAGACCCCAACCCCAACGGACTACCATGGCCAAACCTACCTCGTCACTCCAAGCCAGCAGCAACAACCCTCTAGGCTATTCTAGTCCATCATCATCATCCAAACCAGCCGCGGATGACAACTTCTCCAGCCAGTTCCTCTCTGGCCCATCCTCAACATCCACATCCTCTGCGCTCTCCGATCTAGCATCTCTGTCACTCACTCCTCAACAATTCACCTCTACTACCAATGCGGCCGCCGCTACCCGATCCCAGCCATCACAGCCCAACAACCCCCATCTCCTCCTCCTCCCTTCAGACCAACAACCAAAACCGCTCGGCCGGTCCACCACCACATCAACCGGTTCCGATTTCTCTACCGTCCGCGATGTGCCAGCGATTCATCGCAGCAACACTGCCCCCATTAAGCAAGATATTCCGCGGGGTATCCCCCTTGTCAGCAGCAGCAGCAGGCCGTCGCCACCTGTGCAGTCCAAGTCCGAACCATTAAAGAATAGCATTGGGGAGGATGATAGTAGTGATGATGACACTGGACGATATGGAATTAAGATGGTTGATAATGATGATAGCGAGGGCGAGTTGGGGTTTGTAGAGCCGATTCCCATGGAGGAGGAAGGGAGTGGTCACAGTGGTCACAGTGGGCATGGAGGTAGGAGGTAAAAGGAAAGGAGAGGAAGCGTCTTTGCGTGGGGTGGGTTGAAAGCAATGTTTGTGGTTTTTCAATGGTCCAACCGTTCAATGGTGAAGTTAGGTTGAGTGATGAGGGTCCCGCTCTGCCGTAGAGAAACCTGGCTCGGGAGTGATGGATTTTTATTGAGGAGAAAAAAATATTGAATCAGTGGAAAAGGGATTCGCGAAAAGGAGTGAAGAGAAAGCTGGAAGGAAAGATGATAGGTTTATACACGCTTTCTTAAGTTGGTATATAGTAACGGTATTCAACTAAAGCTCATCGGCATCGACCACTCTCATTTTCAAACAGCGTTTGATATCAAGTGACATTCAGATCAGCCACGAGAGTGGTGAGCACAATCACAACCTCGCTGTCAAGTTAATGTGTCAAAGACTCTACCGATACCTGTTTCGAGTTTTGACTATCAATTAACTGACGTTGACCGTTGGCTCTTCGCCAACTTCCTTCCATCCGTGGACTGAGCTAACACTACAATATACCTTCCGTTTTCAGAAAAAGATACCTTTTATATCTTGGGATGTCACTTTCCATTCGTTTCCAGCCAGGTAGTGAGACAGACGCATGAATACCAAGTCGTCGATGCTCAGTCCAAACTGTGCAGCATAAGTAAAGGTACCTAGATACTACAAACGCTAGGGGCGGGCGAGCGAAACAACAGAGATGAGGGAAAATAACCAATTCTCAAAGACATATAACTCCGTCAATTTCCCTAGGTACTAGATACTATCAAAGGCGCCTTTTTTCATACGATGGATGACGCAGTGCAAAAAACCACAAACAACGAAAAAGAAACCCGCAGGTATCATGTCTATCTATACCATAATATTTCGCACAAGACAAGGCAAACATTTACTTTCCTTCCTTTCTCTAAACAGGACGGAATCACTCGTCATCCTCCTCCTCCTCCTCTTCATCCTCCTCTTCATCTTCCTCATCTTCCTCATCATCATCCTCAGCAAGATCATCATGATCCTCCTCATCGCTATCCTCCTCATCCTCAGCCTGCTTCCCCAGCCTCTCCTCCTCTTCCTCCTCCTTCCTCTTCTTCTCATCCTCCTTCCTCGCCTCCTCCATCATCTTCCTCTTCTCCGCCCTCAACTTCCTCTGGCTCACCACAAACGCACCCAGCGGCGTCTTTTCCCACTCAAAGTCCCTTAGGAACGCCTCGACCTGTGTGCGATCGTTGGGCGCAAAGTCGACGCGGTTGCGCTTGTCCTCGATGAACTTGGCGTTGGACTCGATCTTTTGCACCAAAAGGGCCAGCTGCGTACCGATCTTGCCGTTGTTGTTGCCAGTGCTCTTCTTGCGGGAGTCCTTGAGCCAGCGCTTCAAGGCAACGACGACGGGAAGGGAAAACTCAGGGAAGGCGATGTTGCGTGACCAGAGGACGAAGTACTCGGACAGCAACTCGACGACTTGCTCGCCGAGACCGTCCTGGTAGACGCGCGTGCGAAGGTAGGACTTGGGCGCCTTGTAGGCGGTGGCAAAGTCGAGCGGTTTGAGGGTGGACGACTTGGGAGGCTTCTTCATCTCGGCGGAGTTGAGAACCTCGAGGAGGGCGGAGGCCAGGGGGATGTAGGTGTCGGTGGCACGCGAGAGGCGCAGGAGCGAGCGGATGAGCTGGAAGCGCAGAGGGAAGTAGAGGGCAGTAGGGATGAGGCGCATGGCGCCGAGGGTAACTTGTACCAAGGGGTAGATAAGGAGCTTGAGCTGCGACTCCTTGCCGGCTTCGGCCTCCTTGAGCGGGGAGCAATGCTCGGAGAGGACGCATGACCAGAAGTCGAGCGAGTGCACGTACTGCCAGTTGTAGACGTTGCGGAAGGCGTTGTTCTTGTTGTTGACGATGGAGTTGCGAAGGTGGATGGCCAGCTGGCGGATGAAGCCGAAGGCGGTGGTGTAGCCGAGGGTCTGGTCGAGACCCCAGAGCTCGGCCGCCGAGTTCTTCATGATGTTGATGCCCGCCACCGTGTTGACGTTAGTCAAGCGGCAGCCCTGCACAAGACCCTGGTAGACGGCCTTGAGGACCGTCTCGCGCACGCCCTTGTCTGAGATGACCATCAGGCGCCGAGCGACCAGGAAAGCTGTTATCCTGGTGGCTTCGGTGCTGGCGGACTGCGACCAGAAAGCGACAACCGTCTTGATCAAGACCTTGAGAAGCTTTCTGAAGGAAAGGAGGTAAGGGAGGAGAGGCTCAAGAGCGGAGATTGTGAGTTTAAGGGTGGGCTCGTCGGAGAGGGTGCCGAGGAGGTGGATGATGGAGGCGGCGTAGTTCTTGACGAGCTGCGAAAGGATCTTGAACTTCTTGGTATCGGTGTTGACGTAGGCCTTGCCGGAGGCGGACTCCTTGACAGGTACGTGGTGTGCGAGCACCTCGGGAATATGCTTGAGGGCCAGAACCAAGATGTCGTTGAAGGCATCTGGGTTGTTGATGGTGTATCGTTGGGGCTTTTCGTCGTCGTCCTCGTTCAGGTGGGCGGCGCAACGGAAGGCTATTACTACCTGGCGAGCGGCTCTAAGTGACTTTGTTTCCTCGATCTGTGCCTTCCACTTGGCGATCATTTTCTGGGTGAGTTCGAAGCCGTTCTCCTCGTCGGTAGCCTTGGTGTCCTTCTTTTGCTTCTTCTTCTTGGGCTCCTCGCCCTCGCCTTCGCTCCCGCTGAGCTCGTCAATCTCGGAAAAGTCTGCGTTTTCGTCGAACTCGAGGGCCTCTGGGTCGTTCTCCTTCAAGAACTTGTAGAATTCGGGATCCTTTTCGGCGAGGGAGGCCATGGCTTCCTTGGTCATACCGGTAGGGGCGGCACCGTCTACGACCTCGTCATCCTCCTCGTCGTCGTCGCTAACCTCGTCGTGGGAAATATCGTCGTCGGAGAAGTCGACATCGCTACCCTCGTCTGCTGATGGCTCCTCCTCGGCGTCGGACTCTTCTTGGTCGCGTTTCCTCTTGCCCAACTTGCCGGAGGCATCCTTGGTCTTCTTGTCGAGAATCTCGAAGCCGCCCTGGAAGAAGTCGTCGACGGTCATTTCGCCGGCGGCGGCAGTACCGAGGTTCTTCTTGGCGTGGACAGGCTTCTTGCCGCCATCGGGACCCTTGATGAAGGCGTCATCTTGGGACTTCTTGGCCTGCTTCTTTTGCTTGATCTGCTCTTTTTGCTTGATCTTCTGAACGACCTTTCTGCGTTCTAGAACACCCTTCAGGTGCTTCTTTTCGAACTTTTTCGTTTGTTTGACGTTTTTGACCATGATGGGCGACTGGCTGGGTGGAGTGATGTGTCCAGTCTGGTCAAATGGGTGTGGTGTGTTTTTTTTTTCTTTTCTTTAGTGAAGTGAACCTGGAAGTGGAAGTGGAAGCCAATTCCCGTCCGCAACCACCAAATCTGACCCGTGCTTTCTGCTCTTGCCGTCGCGGTCCTCCCAAACTTTTTTCTCCTCTCAGCGGGATCCCGGGGTTCTTATCGGCTGCTCTTATCGGTGAAGACGCTAGTCCGTTCCTGAACCTAGCGCCGTGCCTGGTGGGGGCACTTCTGCCCGTCACTGTGAGGGATCCACTCTTGACCGGCGCATGCAGCTTCCACTTGTCTTGGAACGTCCTCGCAGCTCTCCATCCACTGAAGCTTCAGTGCTTCACCCGCAAGGTATATACACCTCTACAGGCATTTACTTTGTTAGCGTGGCTCTCTTGCAAGTGGCGATAACTTTATTTTTCCTACAGAAGATTATTGGTATACCCGCGACCAACTAGCGAAATTCTGTAAGGTGGAGGTACCGCGCTAACAAAGTAAATGCCGGCAGAGGTGTACTCGTCATCTTCAAGTTCCATGATTTCATCATGAAGTGTCCAACAACAACAAGAACAACGACACTTGACAATCTCAGTCGTCCGTCATGACTTCCCGCCAGCCATACGCACCCACACCACATAGCTATGTTCCCAACACTACACTCTCAGCTACGATAAACCTGGATGAAGTAAACAAACACCATTCGGGTATCATGAGGTGGTCCATTTACTGACAACATGATGCCATTCCAACTTTAACAGGAAGTGAAGCTCGCCGACACCCGGGCTGAGCGTGACCTCCAGGACTCATTAGCCGAGATCTTCAGTATTATCGTCACTCTGGATGAGCTGGAAAAGGCATTCCTGAAAGATGCCATCCCCGAGGCCGATTATACTGAGATCTGTGAGAGATCGCTAAAGCAGTACAAATCGCTTGTCGCTGACGAGACTGTCGCCAAGGCATTCGTTGGCTTGGAGGAGTTCAAGGCCAAGTGGGATGTACGTATATAATTGAAGTCACTTCACTGTTTGATATGTTTGACTCGCTTACACATAGACCTCTCCATAGCTCGAGGTTCCTCGCGCAACCGAACGCATCCGCGTCGGCATGCCCTCAACGGCCGTTAACGCCTCCTCCGGTCCAGCACCCGCCACAGTTGCCGCTTCTGGAGGCACGAGCGGCACTCTCATTCTTGAAGCCACTCAGGATTTCATTACATTCCTTGATGCACTGCGTCTCGGTCTATTGGCCAAGGATCAGCTGCACCCTCTTCTAACAGACGTGATTCAGTCCGTGAACAAGGTGACGGACAGGGACTTTGACAATAGGGGCAAGATTGTGCAGTGGCTGATCACCCTTAACCAGATGAAGGCGACGGAAGAGCTGAGCGAGGAGCAGGCCAGGGAGTTGGAACTGGATATCAACTCGGCGTATCAGGGCTTCAAGAGCACACTTACGTAGAGCCAGTCGTGTTACAGGATTTTGACGGGTATCTAGCAGTAGTGAGCATCGCTACACCAAGAACGTCCAAAAGCTAGGATAAACAAATTCCTCCTCAAAGATCCTCCTCACTTGCTCCAGCACGAACCTTTCCACCTTACCCACGTTCTTCAAGCTCTGCTTGCCGCTTTCCCTCTGCCCAATCTCACTTTCGACGCGGATTTCCTGCAACAGCCCACCCATCTTTGTCTTTGCCCCGTCGCTGCCTCCTCCTATCCCAGAACCATTCCCGCTCCCAGCAGCCTTGTTTTCCTCCCCACCCACAGCAGCCACAGCATCTTGGGGGCTCAAAAAGCAAAAGTGCACTCTCTTCCTAATATTCGCCACCACTCCCACGCCATCAAAGGTGAGTCCCGTGATGCTCAGCCGCACCGGAATCCCCACAAAGCTGGGCATGGGGTAATCCAACAAGATGTCAGCCGTCAGCAAGAGCTTGACATCACCAGCGTATTTGATGCGGAACACAGCTTGGATGTCTTCCACCCTTG